CCATCGCCACTCTCTCCACTGGTCCTGGGGGGTTCATCTGTCCTGGGGTCACTGTATTTCCAGTTCCAATCTGTGCCAGTGCACCTCCTCCGGTCCAGCCGGATATGTAAGGTAGAATTGGGATCATGGTAATGGGGTGGAGGACGCATTTAAGAATCAGAGGAAAATTTCATATTTCATCTTTACTACACTGCACTCCGATTTGCTCCTTACCTCCCTACAGCCCTGATACCTGATCCCTTTGATGCCTGGTGATCTCACAGGCTGCTGTGTTTCTTCCATGTGGGCTTTGTAGTTTCTCAGTTAGATGGCCTCTTGCTTATCTTCACTCCTGTAGGACCCCAGACTCTATATCTTTTGATAGCTGGGCTCCACCAGCTTTCTTCACCACATTTGCTTTCATTAAAAATTAAAGATAAATGGGTACTTTTTAAAAATTTTTAAGTTTAGGAAGCAAAAAAATAAAACAGTCATAAAGAGCCAAATCAGGACTGAAAGGGGGGATGCCTAAAGATTTCTGTGGAAATTCTCACAAAAATATCTTTGTTTGATGAGATAAGTGAGCAGGAACATTGTTTTGACAGAAAAGGAATCTCTGATGAAGCTTTCTTGGATATTTTCTTCTAAGGCATTGGCTAACTTTGTCAAAGCATTCACATAGTAAGGATATGTTACTATTCTTTAGTCCTCCAGAAAACCAATAAGTAAAATGCTGTGAGCATCCCAAAAAACTCTTGCCTTGCATTTTGCTCTAGATCAATCTCCTTTTGCTTTGATTAGATCATGTCTTCCCCAGAGTAGCCATTCCTTTAACAGTGCTTTGTCTTCAGGATTATATGGCAGAGTGATATTTCACCTACTATTAAAATTATTCCCCCCAAAATGCTGCAAGATTTTCCTTTGAAAATTGTGCTGTTTTATTTTTATTTATTTTTTAAATCAATTTATTGGGGCTCATACAATTCATCACAATACATAGATCAATTGCGTAAAGCACATCTATACATTTGTTGCCCTCATTATTCCCAAAATTCGCTTTCCTCTTGGGTTCCCGGAATCAGCTCATTTTCCTTTTTTTCC